GACAAATAAGAATTTAAATCCGGATTTTCATCTTTTAAACCAGTATATTCGCAGCCAGTATTATTCGCCGCACAGCTTTAACATCTTTATACAACGATTGTCTAGCTCTAGCTTCTCATTACTTCACGCTAATATTAGAAGCATGAAACGCAATTTTGAAAATTTTTTCACTCATCTTCTTAATGAACTTGATTATCCCTTTACTGTTACTGGAATTACAGAGACTAAAATTACAAATTATAATCCTGCATCAATACCGAAACCATCAATACCGAATTTGTTCCAACACCTTTGGCTTCGGGTGGTGTTGCTATGTTTATTAACGACTCTTTAAAATATTCTAACCTGGAGAGAAATTCTAATGTCGCCTTCCAAGCGCTGTGGGTCGAATTTCACTTTGAGAAACAAAAGCAATATCATTTGTGTTGTGATCTATAGACAGCACAATTTCCCCGAGCAGTTCCTAGCTTACTTTGATGAGGTGCTAGAAAAATACAATAGCACTGGCAAAGCAATTCCCAAAACCTTGGTTAAGCAGGGGCTTGATTTAATCTATAAAAGTTAAAAATGATTTGCTAGTCTAAGGCGATTTCCGAAAATATAAGCTGTACAGAAACAAAATATCTGGTCTCATACGACATAGTAAAAGGATATACTATTGCAAATTCTTTAATGAAAACCTACATAACATGAAGAATACTTGGGCTGGTATTAATCAACTTTTGAAGAGATAAAAGAAAAATTCCAAACCCATAATAGTACCTAAACGACCTGGTACAGGCGAAATTACTACTCTTGGTTCTGAACTTCCAAACATTATGAATAACTATTTCTCTTCTATCGGGAAAAATTTGGCAAAAAATGTTCCTTCCTCTTCGAAGCATCACAGAGAATATTTACATGATCGTCATTCTATGAATTCTTTCTTTTTCGATCCTGTCACTCCATCTGAAATAGAACGCGAGATTTTATCATTGCCTTATAATAAATCACATGGATTATATTCTTGCCCAACTCGCCTGATCAAATGCGCTTACTGTATCTTAAGCCAGCCTCTTGCTGGTCTAATTAACATCTCTGTGAGCTGTGGTGTTCACCCACCTCAATTGAAACATGCCAAAGTCGTCCCAGTCTACAAGTCTGATGACGACACCGTGAGAGCCCGGAAACTACAGGCCCATCTCTTTGCTTTCAGTATTCAACCGTATCTTTGAAAATTAAAGTAATGTATAATCGTCTTAGTGCCTTTATTAAAAAAAAATTACCTACTACATAAATCACAATACGGATTTCGCGAGAAGCATTCCTGCCATCATGCCCTACTCGAAATTGTCAACAGAATTCAAACCAATTTCTTGACAGTGTTATGTTTGACTAGTTTTCCACTCACTTGACCGCAATGATGAAGGCGTTTCTTTCTTTCGCTACTAAGAACTCTAACTGGTTTTCGTCCATATTGTTTAAGAATACTTGTGAAAATGTCATCAGTTCTTACCTTAGACGAGGTGGGCGAAGGTACAGTGTGAAACTCAGTTTGGCTTCTGATTTATTCTTTCAATGCACTTGTGTAATCTGCTACAGCTGAGAAGTAAATTTCGGACTTGCACTGTGTGGAATACGTACTTCAACGGATTGGAAATTTCCCCTGGATAATTTCAGCTTTTGAACAGACAACCACTTCCCTCTCTTTATGGGATGTAAAGGCCTTACCCACTATGACTGATCATTGGTGTTACATTTTGCTCGTTATCGGGTGGTCTTAAAGAGCTAAAACTCCTAAAAATATTTATGATTAAAGGCCGATAGTTTCTAAAGAAACTGTTTGGGACTGCGTCGGTGGGGGTAACGAAATAATTTGAATATATCAACAAAGTTGAAATGGCAAATTGGCCAACGTTACGATCATAAAAGCTGACGTTTCGAGCGTCACAGCATGTATAAGAACATGTGTCTATTGCTGTAAAATGATTTGAAAATCCCGACTCGTTGTGTGGTCGCTGGTTGCTCAAATACATGAGATTCGTCCAAAGACATATTCCTCCCTAAAATACCGTGATTGTAGGCACATCGATCGAAAGACGTTCTGGCTGTGACGTCATGAGGGATTTTTAGTTACCAGTATTAACTTCTAGTGTAATAGAAAACTCCGAGCCCCAGATGGGACTTGAACCCACGACCCTCCGTTATCTAAAGGCTGATAGTTTCGAAAGAAACTCTTTGGGGCTGCGTCGGTGGGAGTAACGAAATAATTTGGATATATCAACAAAGTTGAAATGGTAAATTGGCCACCGTAATGATTACAAAAGCTGACGTTTACAAAAGCTGATCTAGTCGGATGCTCTAACCACTGAGCTACTGGAGACTCTATGGTGAGCAAGGGTCAATTTGTGGGCTTCGACTGGAACCGCTTG